TTAAGGCCGAGTAATATTCCATTGTGTATATATACCACAGTTTCTTTATCCATTCATATGTTGAAGGACACCTAAGTTGATTCCATAGTTTTGCTATTGTGAATTGAGCTGCTATAAACATTGATGTGGCTGCATCAAGTCCTTTGGGCATAAATCTAGGAGTGGCATTCTATTCCAGGTTTTCTGAGGAAACTCCATACTGCTTTCCATAGTGGCTGCACCAATTTGTAGTCCCTAATGGGATTCTTTCTGAATCAAGCAAATACAAAGTTTCTATAAAGGCAAAGTCTTGGGTAACAGTCACTCAACCAACATTCCAAAATGCTATGTGCTCTATATCATACTGTCAATTCTCTCCTGCTGTTACCATTTCTTTTCCAAATCGGTTTAGTTTCCACACATGTATGCTTTAAGTACTCACTGAACTAATTCTGGAAGGTGGGCAGTGATCTATCTCAGTGCCAATCCAACACCACTTTAATCCCAGCATGCAAAATCATTCCCCCACTCCCTCCATCTACAAGTTTACAACTACAGACCGCCTTCCAGTTCCTTCATCTAGAAAAACAAAAACCACCTTCAAGAACCTTCCTTATGTGTTTGGTGAGAACTGCTTGGTGTAGTATGGGCTACAGAACCACACAGACTGCTGAGGAGCCTGGATGTCCTCTTTGGCTACTCCCAGAACTCCACGTGCCACTCAGCCACCCCACTAATATCAGCTGGCCCTCTAATAAAGATTTAAACTCTCTCTGGGAATCTGGCAGCATAGGGTCCTGCTGGTAAGGAATCTCACGTGTTGGTTTCTAGAACATTTATTTTATTGGAAGAGTTCAATTTCAAAATGTTAATTATCCTTATTCACAGTTTTTTTTATATTTCTAGCTACTACAGCAAAACAATTCTAGCAAAACATAAGATATACGGGAATAGGGCCTTTCCCCATTACTTCCTGGGAGTTCAGTTTAATCTATATGACAAAAACTCTTCCTGAGCAAGCTAGATATGATTTATGTCAATATTTATAAGGCCTCTACCCAGGAATAAACTTTATTTGGACATATGGTCTCAGTTCTATTATACTCATGACAAAACCAGATAGTCTTCAGGGAACCAAAGACCAGAATTGGTGCATATGGTTAGCAGGGCCCTAAATGAGGCCTATGAAACAAYGAATCCAGCACCTCCCACAATGTCAGGTACATAAATGGATCTCAATAAGGATTTGTTGAATGAAACACATAGCTGGCATATTAAAATAAGAAATACCTACTAAGTATCTCAAATRAATCCAGAGTCAGACGTTCAGTCCCCACCTCTATAAAGCTACTGCTACAGGTGATATTTGTCTTTTYTGGAAAAAGGTATATGGCTCAACCACCAAATAATATAAAATGCCCTTTAAGCTGGGTGTGATGGCATATGCCTGTAATCCCCGCAATTCAGGAGACTGAGGCAGGAGAATGGCAAGTTCAAGGCAAGCCTCAGAACTTTAGTGAGATCCTATCTCAAAAAACAAAAGTGGGGCTGGGTTGTGGCTCAGTGGTAGAGCACTCACCTAGCATGTGCGAGGCCCTGGGTTCGATCCTCAGCACCATATGAAAATAAATAAATGTATTATGTCCATCTACAACTAAAAAATAAATATATATCTTTTAAAAAGGGCTAGGGATGTGGCTCAGTGATAAAGTACCACTAGGTTTAATTCCAGTACCAAAACAAAACAAAGTCAAAAATTCCCTTTAAATAAAATAACTTCTATTCAAATGTCTAGTCCATATCATACAACATTGGGATCCGAAGAACAGAACTTTGGCTCACATTTTACTATGTTCTTCCAGTAGCTCCCCTAGTTTTCTATAATTAAACAGCCAATTTGGGGACTGCACAGGGCCAGGTGCCTTTCCACCCTGGTTGGAGTGAGCGCACAGGGTGAGCAAGCCGAGGGTTCAGTGCTCTGGGGTGCGCAAAAGAAAGGGAAGTGAGCAGATGCCAGCAACAGGAACGAGGAGGCTGGTTGACAAGCGGAGGACTTTATTGGGCAAAGCAGCACAAACTTTTATCAAAATAGAAGCACATCAACGTCTGAACAACTTTTTATGTGAGGAAATTCCATTTAAATATAACAGAACAACTGACACACATTATCAGTAAATGCAAAAACAACAAAAACCAGACCTTTGTATTGGTGACAACACACAAAGTTGTCATAGTCTGGTACTTACATCATGGGGAAATTCCCAAGTCAGCTTGCCCATAATTATGCAATGTAAATTTAGGAGAATTTAACATCATGTGTTTCAAGAAAAATACACACTCTCAGTTTTTAAACTTGAATTGATAACTATATTTGTGCTTCAGAAAACAGTAAATTCTTTCTATAGTAAAAATCTAACTGGGTACAGATTTGGAAGAATACAGAAAGAGGAAAAGAAAAAGTCCCTTCCCAGTGGAGTGGTCCACAGCTCTGGGACAGACTCCATGCCTAAAGGCTAAAAGAAAAGCAATCTGATGGAAGATGGTTAGAAGAAGCTGGAGCCCTCACAGGATGGACAGGAAAAGAGCAGACGCTAAAGGTGCAAGGAACCAAAGAACATTTATTATGTGGAAGAGGCAGATGATGACAGGGAGCACAGGGAATATTAGGAAACATCTCAAACACAGAAAATGAGAAAGCTCCTATATCTACCCATTAGATTTATCCAAATTAACACAGAACCATATTTTTTCCTTTAGTTCTTCTAAGTAATAAAAAGTTACAGGGTTGGGGATATGGCTCAGTGGTAGAGCACTTGCCTAGCATGCGTGAGGCCCTGGGTTCAATCCCAAGCACGTAAAAYGAAAAAAAAAAAAGTTATATATACACAGTGGAAAGCCCTACATATCCTTTCCAGGCATTCCCATGAATTTGCTATGACTCTTCTTTCCAAGACTTATTTGGTGGGAAGAAAGGGTGGGGGGCTAGCAACCTAAGAGAACAATGGTAAGCAAGCAAAAATGGAGGCAAAAAAGGTCATTAAAGAAAAAGAAAAGGTTCCATTAAAACACACACAAGATGCAAAGCTTTTTCTCAAGTCTAGTTTTCATTGTTTCCTTTCTCATGTTTATTTCCAAAAGACACTGTTCCTGAAAGAGAAAAATCAACCACAGTTAYACTTTATATAAAAGCTCAATCACTATGGTTCTTAATTTCCATTTTAAGCACAAGCAAACCAAACATTCACCTTCAACTGAAACTRCACATTTAAATCAAATCTGTCAGTTAAAAAAGCTCACCACCAGTGAGTAGAGCTGTTCATACTACCCTTCACAAATAAAAACAGCTGCTGGCACTCTCCTTCAAACATAAAAAGTATTTGATATTAACTTGTATGTTAAAGAATTTATCACTTTTGAGCAATATATTTCAAAATGTTGTGTTCTGATCACCCACCACAGCACCCCTATTTTGACAATTTACAATTATCAATTAATAAATTCCTCCAAAGATGATATAATACTTACCTTTTTAAAATATTCTCTCTTCCCYGAGGAAGACTAATATAAGAGTAAATATTCAACTGCGTTTGCTTAAGCAACCGTGTATGCATTTTTTCTAGTATAACCCCCTAATTTTATGTCCTATAGAAGTGATATAATCTATAAAGATGCTGTAGCACAACATGCAGACTGCAGTCAAGGGCAATAGAGAGAACTCAGCTTTCAGGCATAAATGCTAGTCTTCAGGCTGTGTACATGATCTTGTGCATCTGGGAACCCCAGCTTCCTCATCCTTAAAATAAGGTCTACTTTTATTTGAAGGGTACTGTGGAGATCAAGCATGTGACTTTGTGTACACAAAAAAAGTAGCCGATACTAAAGCTTAATGTAKTAGAAAGAATTGAAAGTTATAATTGCAACTGTTAAGTCATCACTTACTAGAAACAACCCAAAATTTGCAAAGGAAATAAATTTTGAGAATCAAAACCRTTGTTCCTGCATTAATGACACTGAGCTTACAATGCAGCTGTACTTTCTTAAAAACATACATAATAAGTACATTAGCACATGGGAAATGTTTGAACACTGTTGGTTCCTACCTGAGAGCAACCACACCCACAAGACAATCACAAAGAGCAGCCTCTTGGGCGATCTCCAAATGGCCCAACAAAAATCACACTTGAACTAATCAAAGCCCAGGCACGAAGTGAGCAAAGCTCCTTTGCTTTTGTTACATCAACCCAATTACATCAATTATAAGGAGGACAATTCCATTTTGATCATAAGTTTTAATTACCATTTATCATAGAGTAATTTCTGAGAGCAATCTTAGGACAAAGGGTCCCAGACAGTCAAAAAGTGGGGGAACTACCAGTTTAGAGTCAGCAATGTTTTCTTTAAACACTGGAGTCACCCACAGCCCCAAGAGGAGGCAACGTTTCATTTTAACAGGGAATCTGTTTCTGTGCATCAGCATTCCATTCCACACCCTTCAGGTCCTCTTCACAAAAGGTGCCCATCTTAATGGTAGTGGTGTGCACTGTGAGGATCTGAGATGATTCAATTTGGGCCATGAGGATTTTGAGGCTAAACCTCACCTCATGACAATCCTCCCACATATCAGTAACAGGGAAAGGGCAGGAGAACCCACAATTCTGGGCTCAGACCCACGAGGAGCATCAKAGGGAAAACATCAGATCAGACCTCGGGATACAGCAAGAGCATCCCAGCCAAACTCAGATCACCGCATCTAAAGGAAGGCATGGGGCTGGGGTTGTGGCTCTGTGGTAGAGCCCTTGCCTTACATGTGTGAGATACTGGATTCAATCCTCAGCACCACATAAAAATAAATGAATAAAACAAAGGTCCACTGATAACTWAAAAAAAWTTTTTTAAAAAGTAGTCAAGCACAGCTGTCCCAAGAGTCACTCCATCTGCCCCCCTACCCCAACCCCCACCCCCAACAGCACAGCAGCTGACTGGCAATAACAGGAGTGGCAAAAACATCAAACTTCACTTACTTAACTTTTTAGCAGTTTTTTCATTTCAATAAATTTATTTTGATTAGTTGGATTGTTTAAAAGGAAGAGAAGAATCTGCTCATGTTTTTCAACCTATGGATGAGAAAGAAAACAGTAGTTTCATTTCTAAAACTGTTAAGAACATACATCTACTTAAAGGAAATTTTACCTACTTGTTTCTGCAACTGTGTACAGCAGCAATTCATCCTGTGCATCTTTTCTAAAAGAAAAAAAGAAAGCCATTAGGTAATATCCAACATGAACAACAAGAAAAACCTAGATCTCAACAGATATCTATCTGCCCCTATGGCTGGGTTCCAAATACAGAGAACACAATCCACCCATCTGGGCTTCAATGTTTTATCTACTTCTTGTGACCAGGTGTTTTTCTGTTTGTTTGTTTAATACAAATTAACACCCACACTGCAAGGGTCAGATCCTATCATCACCTACAGGGGACCTCTGTTGGGCAAGGACAGGTCTGCCAAACACTGTAGAAATACCAGGATACGCCAATCCCAAACTTGAGAWCTCATGTTGAGTAGGATCAAAAGTGAACCTGAAGGAAGGCCAGGGCAGAACGTGAGACACTTCAAAGCTTAACTCCCAGAACAATGCTGCTGAGCTGCCCTATGGACTCCCTGGAACAGGACTGCTCCCACCAAGGTGGCCCCTGAGGTGGCAACGGAGCCCTTCCAAGGGATTTATGGAGGAGGTGGTGGTAGCAACTATGGCCACACAGAATGAGGAAGATCAGGTCAACTAAAGTGACCATCTCTGCTCCTTGTTACACTTTCATCTGGTATTAATCACACCTGAAGAAATACCTTTATTTAAAGCACTTTGCTTTTTAGATGTGATGTCTTTTGCCAGCCCATACATCACCAGCTTATCAGCCACATTGACAGTACCATTCTCAGAACACTTCTCCACCGACACTGTATGAACATTCTTAATAATTCCTTTCACGGAAAGCATTACATTCTGATTCAACATGAAATTTTTTAGTAGCTCTATCATTAATTGAGAACAGCTTCCATTCAACTCCATCAGTCCTGGAAAAAAATTGAAGATATCTATATATATATATATATATATATATATGTAGGTACCAGGGATTAAACCTAGGAGTGCTTAACCACTGAGCCACATCCCAGCCTTTTTATTTGAGACAGGGACTCACTAAGTTACTTAGGGCTTCATTAAGTTGCTGAGGCTGGCCTTGAACTTGTGATCCTCCTGTCTCAGACTCCCCAGCCACTGGGATTACAGGTATGTGCCACTGCACCAGATAATTTTCAAGTCCCTTTTTAAAGACTATAGTTAGATAAATTAGCTAAGGATAATAAACAAAAGGCTTTCTGACTTTGGCTGGTTTAGGTATTTTTTGATGTAATACTGCTATTGCATTAGAAAATTCAAATTTACTCAACAAATATTTATGGATGACCCCGAGCACTAATCTAGCCTTAGGGGGCACAAAACAGGAACAATGTTTGCTCTGAATGTTCCAATGGGGAACATCTTTATCCAGTGATAAAGAATTTCCCAATTCTTGAGCAAAATTAAATCAGACTCTAAGTCATCAGTGTGATATTATCCATGAGGTTGCTGAGTAAAGAGACCAGGAATAAGAGTAAAAAGCTACTTTAAACATTTCAGTTCACTTTATTCAAATTCCAACTGAAGCTGGAATGTAGTAACCATAGTAAGACAGTCAGGAATGGTGTCATTTGCAATGTCTCTGGTCYCTAAGGAGAGCTGTGACAAGGCAGCAAGACCCTGGAAGAGGGGTCAGACCATTGCCCCAGACACTTCTAGAGCTTTTCCAGAGGGGGCAAAACAATCTCTGAAACTCAACGCTCTGAAAATAAGCCACATAACAAAGACAGATMATCTGAGTATAGTTTTTGTGAGAGTTAAAAAAAAAAAAGAATGTGAAATTTCTTTGAAAACTCTTGACATTTAGAAATTTGAGCAATTACTTAAAATACACAACTGATTCAGACTCAGAGATGTGAAACAAAGAGAAAAACAATCTCACAAGACACACAAAGTGGAAACTGATTTATCTACCTTCAAGTGAACATTTAATGATTTGGAAAGGGACCTCCAGGTGGCTGGCAGCAATCGGCTGCACTCTGGAAAGAGGCAGGGTTTCGATGTTCCCATAGTCTGCATAGAGCACTTTCACATCAGAGTCTGATATCCCCAGAACAACCGCACGGTACCAGAAATCATCACCTGAAAACAGAACAGACGCTTGCTTAGCTGAGAAGTTCAGTCAACAATTCCTCCTACCTCAGATGCCTTTTCATAAATTACATTCATATCACTTAAAAATTCACGCCAAGGTTTATGGTTACAGTCCAGCTTTACCTCTATTCCTTCCAAATCCTACTAAAAAGACAATGGGATTTTTGTTTTTAATCATAAGGACAATGACCAAAAGAGAAACTCATATAATACCAGAAGTCTGGAAAACAGAYGTATGAATGGAAATGATTTTATCAGATTCATGGTAGCTTAGCCAAAGCTGGGGGTCAGGCAGTAGCCCAGTTTGTACCTCAAATCCTCAGACCCCAAGGCTTAATAACTGGTGCTACTCATTCAAAAGCAGGAGTAAAGATGGAGCTGGGAATGAGGACATGATAATATTTATTTTTAAAGTTACTAAAAAGCTTTATGCTCACATGTTTTAATACAGCTTCACATACCTTTCTGAAATGATTCCAGACAACTGCTCCTACAACTATAAAAGACTAGAGATTCCTCTTCCAGAGAGACCATGTGGTGGGGAACGTGAGACTGAGYAGAGGAGGAAGAGTTTGCTAAGAACTGGAGCACTCCGGGCGGCAGACAACCAGCCCAGGTGAGAGCACGTCCAGCTGCCAACCCTGGCAGTGCCCAGTACAACGGCAGAGCCAGATCAACCTGCTCAAGACCAATAGTGGACCAGCTACTCAAAGAAATCCCCAAAGAACTGCACAGTTCCATCTTAGACATGTGAATAACAAGGGATCACCATAGAGTTGAAGAAAGCCTCTAATGTGCCACAGGAGCGCAAAAGAAACAAAACAGGACTTTGGAGAAACAATGAAAATTGAAAGAACAAAAGTAATATCCTTGGAGAAATGACACTCGTTTCTTGAAATAAGAACAGAACAGTATTAAACATATGCACACACACACCTRAAAAAATCAAGAGACACTGGAACTAGAAATGTGGTATCTGAAATGAAAACTTCAATGAGAAAAGCTGGAAGTTGAAATTGAGGAGGTCTCTTGAAAAAAGAGAAAAGAATGAAAGAAAACCAAAATTGAGCAGAAGATTTTGAGTCCAACATTAGAAAACAAAAGAAGGGAATGAAAGCACTGATTCAGGAAAATTCAGAAAAACTGAAGCCCATAAATTTCTGGACTTAAGGTTCCACTGAGTGCCCAGTGCAAAGGTACAAAGAAAGTACCACACCAAGCTGTACTGCACATTTCAAATATAAGAGGAGGATACTGAAGGTTCCAGAGAGSATTAAAAATATGTACAAAGTTGGGAAAGTCTGGGATAATGTCTACCTTTTGATAAAAAACACCAAAGCTAAAACACAATAAAAGCAATGCCTTCAAAATTTCCAGGGGAAAATGACTTCTAATCTAGAATCATACACCCAGACAAGCTATTGATCAACTGTTAAAGACTTTTTCAAACATAGGAGATAAGAAATTTATCTTACTCACACCCCTTCTCAGATTCTGAAAGATAAGATCCACCTTAATATTGGAGTAAAATCAAAAGGGAAATAAGGTGAAAGCAATCAAGTTGAGCTGAGAGAAGGAGAAATCCAGTTAACAGAGGGGGAGTGCTGAAACAATCTTCAAAGCTCAGTGGGGAAAGGAAATCCCAAGAGGACAGCCACAGGCTGGAGGACAAGCAGCCTGGATAGGAGCAGGGCTGAAGATGTCTTGWRTAGAATAAAAGTTGATCAAATACACAGAGTTCTTGGAGGGAATTTATGCTAATACAGAGAACTGGAGATAGGGAAAGTATAACACATTAACAACAGAAGTTGCAAATGAGAACCAGAATCATGGACTACAGCATGGCTCAGCTCTTTATCAAGTCATCACAAATACTTATTTAACTAAAAATCACAACTTCTATTGGGAAGCAAAAGGGGAAGAAGAGGGGAAGAGGGGCGGTGCAAATCCAGTTGTCATACAAAAGAAAACCAAAACTAGGGAGTGACTTCAGCAAGGTGAAAAGTGTAGCAGGTTCGTGCCCTTCCCCACCAAAGCAACAATATGGTGCTATCTAAGAACAGAAGTTCCCTTGGGACTCAGGCAGGTGGTTTTAAGACCCCAGGAGCCCAAGTCTGAGGAGGGTTGTTCTGGGAAGGCTGACCTGAGCCCCAGTCCTGCTACTGATCAAGAGCAGCCCTGTTCCCCTGTGAACTCAGCTCTAGCACTGCTGGGCTACCTTCTTGCCACCAGCCCCATCTGCCTGAAAAATGGCAGGAGCAATGCCCACCCAGGCCCTAGTAACAGACCCTACACGGACCCTAAAAGGTCTGGTAAACTGGCTGCAGTTCCACTTCACCTCAATCCTAGAAACAAGCCAGAATAGTGTTATTTGCTAGCAATGGCAATCTGTTAACATGAAATACTAAACATGAGTGGTTAAAGTAGACTATAATCAGTCTTGACTTCCTGAGGCCATTCATTCTTCTTCCAGTAAATTCATATATTGTAAATTCACATTCATTATATATATATATATATACACACACATATATATATATATATACATATACATATACATATACATATATATATATATATATATATATATATATATATATATATAGACTGTACATCCTTAATGTTACTGATCCACTGTTAAGGTCTGTAAATAAGTCAAAAATAACACCTGGTATTTTGCCAGAGGAATGTTGGAGTTCGTAAACAAGTTTGGATGGTGCCTGGCAAAATGCCAGAGGGAGTGGTTTGAGAAGTAACAAAAGTGAGCCATTAAGTGTGGAGATTCCTTATTGGTTGACTGATGTATCTAGTTTATGCTAATTAAGATAAGCTGTGCAAAATGTATAAATAGCTCTGTTGTCCTACAATAAASGGCTCCTATTCCTGCTGTATCAACGTACACAAGTTATT